TCCCCAGTGGAGCTTCTAGTTCAGGTGAGAAAACATGCAATTATAAGATAGAATAAATGCTATTAAAGGAGATCACAGGATGTTATCCGTACTTTATAGAGACACATGACGAAGATTTGAGGGGCAGGGGGACAGGGAAGGCTTCCTGGAGTAAGTAACACTTCAGTTGAGACCTCAAAGACAAGCAGAAGTTATCCAGGCTAAGAGATGGGGGGAGAAAGTATCCCTGGCAGAGGGCACAGCCTTTGAAAAGCCTTGAGGTGAAAAAGAAATGAACAGTTCAGTCCTGTTAGGATGTACAACCATCTTCTCAGACCCTGGGGTTCTGTTAAGACAATTAAGCCATAATGCCTTGAGGATCTACTGGGAGAAATAGTTACTCAGATCATTTTCCCCAGGGCTTAGTTCTGTAGAACCCAGCTGAGAAAGTCTTAAGTAGAGACTGTTCAGGATGTGGGGACAGGTGAGGGTGGAGAGAAAAGCAGAAGGATCATAAAGGGCCTGGTAAGTCACATTTGTTTTTTCATTTTGCAATTAAGAAACAGCAGTTATTACTAAATTAACTCATTGGATGGATATAAAACAACACATAATGAAGAATAAAAATCTAAAACAAAGCACAATAGATGGCATTAAAACATTAAATAAATCCCCTCAGATTTAAATACATTCTGTCTAATCTTAAAGCCTGAGCTTGTCTCAATCATTCCTATAATCAATATTCACTGACCACTAGCTCTGAATGACCACCAGGGAATACACCGGGGAGACAGTCCCCGCCTCTCAGGAGCTCAAGGTTCCCGCTGGTCTTTCTGACACATCCAACCCACACTGCCTGTCCCATCTTTCGAGGCCTAAAATAATCTCACCACTCACTTCTTTTTGGCATCTATTCATAATCTCTTTTGGGCTGTTATCTAATGTGGCATATGTACAGCATTATTTTTAACTAAATAAACTACTCAAGGACAGAGTCTATGTGTTTTATTTTGTTACTATTTGTACTATAGAATTAAGCAAGAAACTGAACAGTGTAAAATCTCAAATATTCATTAGATTGCATCCTGCCAAGAATATATATTTATATATATTCTATATGCCTAAGTCTTTAAATCTGAGAACACTTTTGAGACAGGATTGTAAAGAGAAAATAAATGTGATCTTGGAACATGTACATGTACACAAAACTTCGGATCGGAAAACAATCAACAAATACAAAATATCCCTTAGTACAATTAAATAAATACATAAACCTCCACATTTATTTTTACATACTTTAGCACAGAAAGGGGTCAAGGAATTTAAAGAGCAGCCAAAATTATTAAAAGGACAAACTGAAGGACAATCATAATAGCTAATTATCTTAGGCAAATAGTGACCATGAAAAAAAAAGTACAATCAGGCCATCTGCTCAATTAGAAAGGTAAAGATATTTCTGGGATCATGTTCATGGTGAGTGAGAGACTGTGGAACAGGAACAGCTTCATGAAAAGCAATTCTAGAAGACTGTAAAGGGGACAGGGTAAAACTGTGGAGTTCACACTGTTTCAGGGGAGAACGGAATTACACTGGGCTTTGGAGAAGGAAATGGCAACCCACTCCAGTGTTCTTGCCTGGAGAATCCCATGGACGGAGGAGCCTAGTAGGCTACAGTCCACAGGGTCACAAAGAGTCGGATACGACTGAGCGACTTCACCTTCACCTTATCTGGTCTAGTCATGACTAATAGACTACACGGGGTCTTATAATGAGGAACTGTCACAAAAGTACAACTAAAGAACCAGGCCACCCCACCTTAAAAAAACAAGATTAAGAGGGCACTACTGATGAGGTCACACTAGTTCGGGACAATGAAGGCCAGGAGGCATGGTCATAAATCTGTGATTATGATTGGCACACACATTGAACTCAGCTGATTTGAAACACCTGACCAAAAATGCCTTTACATCAATTATAAAGGAACAGATTACACAAGAGAGGTGGTGTAGCAAACTAACTGAGAACATGAGCTCTGGACGTCAAGACTGCCTGTATTCACAACCCAGCTCTGCTACTTACCAGGTGTGACCTGGGGGCAAATTTCTTAATGCCCTTTATCTCAGGAATCTCCACTAAAAAATGGAGGTAATAACAGGACCTATCTCACAAAATTGTGGCGAAGAATGTAACACATGAAAATACTCAGGAAACAGAAGGGTCTGGCACATGGCAAGCCGTCAGTAAGTTCTAGCTATAAATATGCTTCTAGAATTCATAAAAGAATTAGGAAAAAAACTGATTTTTTAAACGTTCAAATATATTAATATTTAGGAATGGGAAATCAATGGATGGCTACTCACAGAATTGGGACACACTCAACTTTAAGGTTAGTGATGTTTGGATGGGATGAACCAGTAAGGCAATGCCCATTTTCCATGTTTTTAACTCGAGAGTAACGATTATCAGCTCTGATAACCTTTTTTTTTTCATTACTTTTACAAAAGGCAGAGAAGCAATATTGAGAAAAGGGGATAGAGAAGAGAGAATTAGATTTGCAGGCAAGGTGGTATTCTCAGAAATACCACTGCAATCAAAGGTGCCCAAATGATGAAGTTCCAATTTGGCTGAGGTCTTCTAGGATTTCACATCTATTAAAGATTTCAGATGGGATGGGAAGGAGTCCCAGTATTCCACCTTCAGTTAAGGCACTTTCTTCTTCACCCACTGACCTACACAAAGGTCTTCTTCCAGTGCCAGGCCAGGCTCTTCTTGCCTAAGGGCCTTAGCAGGTTAATTCCCCTTCTGCCTGGAACCCTGTAACTACCTCACCACCCACCTTGTGACTACTTCCTCATCCTTAAATTTCCAACTTCCACTACTCCTGATTCTCTTATTTAAAATAGGTCTCTTCGTATTTTTTGTCTCAGCACCTAGTTGGCTTCCTGCGCAGCCTAGTACCTTTCACAATTTGTAGTTATTTCATATGCTTATTTATTTTTACTATCTTCCCCACTAAATAGCTCCACAATGGTAGAGAACATCTTTATTCATCACATCATTTTCACTTAATCTTAACATTGACTAGCATAAAGTAGGCACTCAATAATATGTTGAATGAATTATGAACCAATGGCCCTAAGGCCCCTTTCAGCTAAAATCAATAACTATTAGATAATATAACAAAAAATATCCAGTGTAAAGGTGGAGGCTTTTATTGATGGGCCTAGGAAGTATCGAAGTGACACCTCACTATGATCAAGCTAACTAAATGGCTCCATTCCAAGAGGTTTAGTCACAACTTGACTGATGTAACATACTAGTGACTATCACCCTCCTCAAACAGTGACTCTGTAAGTTTTGCTTTCAGATTTGCCTTACTTATTTTAACAACTGGAGAACTAGGCCCAAACTTCTAAACATGGAGTGGCTATGTAAGAATTGTCTGAGGAGTTTATTAAAAAGACAGGTTTCTGGACCAAAACTCCAAAGATTCTTATTTAGTACTTGTGTAATAAGGCTCTAGAATCCATATGTTTAAAACTTTGTGGGAATTCCCTGACAGTCCAGTAGTTAGGGCTCTGTGCTTTCACTGCGGAGGAAGAGGGGTTCAATCCCTGGTTGCCGAACTAAGATCCCGCAAATCAATGTGGCCAAAAACAATGCTTATTTTGCAATATGTGTATAGTACACAATTCAAAAGATACAAAAAAGTTTACAGCAAAATCTCCCTTTCATTCCTGTCTCCCAGCCTCAAGTAGTCTTTTCATAAGCTAACACTGTTACAAATTTTATGTATTCCTCCAGATAACTATTTGCCTAAACAACATGTATCCTTTGCTTCAAACACCCAATTGCATATAGAAAGAACTATTTCAGTTTCATTTTTTCTATTACCATTTAGCAACATATGCTGGAAAGAAAGGTATCTGTATTTTTAACAAGCACCCTAGGTGATTTCTGATAGAAAGCCAAACAGGAATCACTCATTGGCCCAGAGTTAAGTGATTAAGTTCACTCCACTAAGACATGTTAGAAACTTCAAGGACACACAAACTCAAAGGTAGCCTTGCTTACTCGACCTCTCTCCTCTTGCCTCATGGACACGAACTAAAACATTCGCTAATGTCTCCACAGAAGTCAGGAAAAACTAGCCATTCAAATGGATGCTCCCAAACTGTTCAGTTTTCAATTCCCATAATCCTTTCCTGCCCAACAGCACCTGAAATCACAAACCGGACTATTTCTAGGTTACACAAGACATTTTGGTATTTGGGTTATAAAAGAGGATTGGTTTCCGCTAAACTGGGACTGGTTTTGTCTCCTGGTAGTTAAGCAGTTTAATGGAGCACAACCGAAAATACTTCCTTCACTAATCATTACTGACACAACAGCATCCAAACCTCCAATTGCTTTCTCACCATGTGGGCAAAAGCAATTAACTTAGAAACTGTCGAGAAGACCGCATGAAGTCAAGCCGAACTCGGTGAATTCTCGAGTTCGGAAGCCGGGAGACCCCGACTTTATTCTGTGTGGGGTCGATTAGCGGGGCCCCTGTGCAACAGCTCTAGCCTTCTCTCCCCACCTACACCAGAGACTGCAGGAAGAGTTTCCCTTTGGCGCGGAGAGAAGGCTCTCCTCCGCAGTGTCCCTTTCACCACGCGGGGCACTGCGCGGAAAGACACCTCGCCTCCCTCCGAGGGAGGAGGAGTGTTAAGGGGGCTCCACGAGCGACTCAGGACACCCACCGGGACCCAGCGCCGGCTTCCCCCTCCTCCCAGCTGGAGGGGCTCTGAAGGGCTTGGGGAGGGCGTGACTCCTCCCTCCCCTCTCCAGGAATTCAAACGTGATGACTGCAAAGTGGGGCTTAGAGGGACCCCTCCTCAGACGCACACCTTCTCTTCTCGGGCGTTTCTCCATCCTCTGGGCCTTCCCTTGAGTCGTGACCCAGGCCTGCCCTCCTCGGCCGGCCGTCCCGGAGCCCTCTTGCCCGGTTCCCGCCCGCTCCCCACAGCCCCCCTCACCCAACATGATGGGGCTGAGCCGCCGGGCCAGGCCCTTGGACAGGTCGTACACGTAGAGCTTCACCGGATAGAGATTCGGCGGCTCCATCGGGACCCGTGGCGGCGGCGGCCACGAAGTCCCTCAGGCACCCGGCAGCGGCTTGGACCTTCCCGTACTCGACGGGGGAGGGGAGTGGAGGGAACGGGAGACCGAGCCCCGGCCCGGCCTGAGGGGCGGGGAGAGGCCGCCCTGGGCTGCTCGCGCCCCGGCACCCGCCACCAGCAACGACTACTGTGAGGTGACAGAGCGGGGACGGGCACGATCCGTGCGAAAGACAGCGCGGGGGGGGGGACGCACTTTCGCGCATGTGCGTAGTGTCCTGACGGACGGCGAGGGGCGGGGTTTGGCGGGCGGGGGCGGGGCTTTGCAGAAGGCGTGGTGGTAGTTAGGGTCCGGTGTGGAAAGCGCCTTGTGGGAGTGGGCGTGTTTGCTGGACAGGAACGCGGCGCGCTGTGCGTGATGACGTAAGCGGCGTTGATTGGGTGCAAGAACAGGAGCTTGCGCGTGCGCGGCGCCCCTCTTTCTGCCCAAATTGATCGCTTCTTTGAGGTCAACGTAGGTGGGAAGGGGCTGTTCTCTGTTGTTTGTTGCTTGCTGGCCAGGGATGGCTTCATTCTGCTTTGCCTATTCAGTCTTGCGAGTCCCCCTTAGCCTCGCCGTGGGGATGGTGTCAGCCAGAAGTGTACAGACCCGAGGAGGTGGAGGAGACAGCCTCTGATCTCCGTTTCTTCCTCAGGGGAGAAGGCGGCACCTGGCCTTGGAGGGCCGCTTCGTTTGAGACCTCAGTGGGCATAGCTGGCTAAGGAGTTGGGGAAGATTTGGGGGCGGGATGAGGATAAGTGGTCTGCTAAAAGACGGAGTACCTTGGACTGGGAATCTCTAGTCCAGATGATGCCGGAGGCGGGACTGGACCACTAGGTCAGGCTACCCAGGCACACCCATTAGAGGGGTTATCCCAGGCCACCGGCCCTGAATCATCCTTAAGGGATATAGCTCAGGAGAGGCTGCTTCAGGAATGGTCCCCATGCCCGTTACCGTTGCATCTCATTTACCAAGCACTCCAGGCAGTAGGATCTAGCATCTACATTTCTCATAAGTAACCTGTAGCCTTTAGGACAGATCTCAAAGGAGCCTAGGAGTGGATGACTTTTAGGTTTAAATTTACTTTGTTACTGATCTTCGATTTCTTTCACCTAGTGAGCAGTAACAACATGTCAGGGTGGGAATCTTACTACAAAAATCAGGGTGATGAGGAAGAAGAAGAACAAGAAGAGGGCCTTGAAGCAGGTGGTAAGTGACTTTCATTAGCATGTACCATTGTGTGTGTGTGAAAGACTTTCCCTGCCTATCTCTGCTGGATGACCCTTGTTGCCTCCTGGCCCACCCTTCTCTCCCCAGAGAATCTCCAGTACTTTTCCTCCCTTTGAACTTTGCAGAGCTGCTCTGAAAGTGGAAATGGAAGTTGCTCAATCATGTCTGACTCTTTGCGAACCCCATGGACTATACAGTCCATGGAATTCTCCAGGCCAGAATATTGGAGTGGGTAGCCGTTCCATTCTCCAGGGGATCTTCCCAACCCAGGGATCGAACCCAGGTCTCCCAGATTGCAGGTTGATTCTTTACCAGCTGAGCCACCAGGGAAGCCCTAGGCACTTTTATTTATGTCCTACTCTAGTCTATGGTACATTCCTAGTCTTAAACTTCTGCTGGGCACTGATAGATTGAGCTCCAATAAATTACACTGAAACATTGGTATTAACGGTCACCTTAGGTGGCTCAGGGAGAAGGCAATGGCACCCCACTCCTGTATTCTTGCCTGGAAAATCCCACTGACAGAGGAACCTGGTAGGCTGCAGTCCATGGGGTTGTGAAGAGTCGGACACGACTGAGTGACTTCACTTTCACTTTTCACTTTCCTGCATTGGAGAAGGAAATGGCAACCCACTCCAGTGTTCTTGCCTGGAGAATCCCAGGGATGGGGGAGCCTGGTGGGCTGCCATCTCTGGGGTCACACAGTCGTACACAACTGAAGTGACTTAGCAGCAGCAGCAGTAGTAGGTGGCTCAGGTAAGACCCTTCCTCACCCAGGAAAGTAGTTTTTCTCATTCTTGGACCTCAGTGCAAAAGTGCTTTCACCCTACAATTACTGCAGCAACCAAAGAGTAAATGTTAACAACACAGTTACAAGAGTCATTCCCTCACCGTAGCCTGGTGTTTTGGGAGTATGTGTTCAGGCAACACAGTAACACATAGGCCAAAGGAAAAGAAACAAGGGATGCATGTCTGTTGTTCAGTTAATAAGTTACGTCCAACTCTTTGCGACCCCATGGACTACAGTACGCCAGGCTCCCCTGTCCTTCATTGTCTCTCAGAGTTTGCTCAGATTCATGTCCACTGGGGCAGTATGCTCTCTAACCATCTCATCCTCTGCTGCCCCCTTCTCCTTTTGCCTTCAGTCTTTCTCAGCATCAGGGTCTTTTCCAGTGAGTTGGCTTTTTGCATCAGGTGGTCAAAGTATTGGAGCTTCAGCATCAGTGCTTCTAATCAATATTCAGGGTTGATTTCTTTTAGGAAATCATGTACTCTATATACTGGTTAATTTAAGTCCTGGGTAGAAAATTTTAAAGTATTTTTATTAAAAGTGAGAAATATAAGAAATATAAAAAATGAAAGATCTTTAATCTACATAATCTACCACCCTTATACAGCCATTACTAGCATTTTGATAATTAGCATATTTCCTTCCTATATCTTTCAGATTATGTATTTCCTAAGTATATGTAGTCTGTTTTTGTTTGTATCTGATTTTTATATAATTGTAATCATAGTGATTATATTTTTTCCTTTTTAATTTATACTTTCAAAATTTATGTTTTTCAAAAAGAATTTTAAACATAACTCTGTGCCTTTTTTCTTTACTGTACTATAGATATATCTTTCCATGTAACTGCAAATATAGCCTCTATGACTCATTTTAAATGTGTTGTGATTTTTTTCAGTCTACCTTCTTTTGGACATTTTAGTTTTCAGTTTCTTACTTTAATAAACAACATTGTGGAAATTTTTGCATAGGTTTTTTTCCATATCTTATTTTCTTAATATAGATTCCTAAGAAGTAAAATTCATTGGCTCAGTGTAGAATTTTTCTTTGAGGTTCTTGACACGTATTGCTATATTGCTTTAGAAAAGATGGGGAAATAAATTTATTGCATTAGGAAGTGGCATAGTCAAAAGGGAGACAACCAGATATTATATGTCTTTTTGTGAAAAACTCAACATCACCTATAATGTAATTATGCCAGAAAAAAAGAAAGAAAGAAAACCAAATCTGATGAAGCCTCTGTAGGTCCTTTGTGGAAAGGACAGAACTATGTTAATCTACATCAAAAGAATGTAGTCAAGCAAAATCCAGAAGGTGGAAAACTATATGACATAATATCTAGGTTCTTCGGCAAATAAATTATAAGAGACAAAAGACAGAGGGGCTATCCATGGATTAAGAGGCTTTAAAAACTTTTTTGTTTTAAGTCAAAACCAGTGTGTAGGAATGTTGGCTTGGATGATTAAACTATAAAGAAAAATAAATGAAGAATAATTACCAAAAGTCAGGATGGTGGTTACTCTTGGGAGGAAGGTGGGTGTTAAAATTGGAAGGGTACCTGGAGAGGGCTTCAGGGGTTACTGGCAAGATTCAATTTCCTGATGTGTTGATTTTAAGAATGTTCACTTTTTTTTTTTTTGGTTGCACTTCATGAGCATGGCTTGCCAAATCTTAGTTCTCTGGCCAGGGATTGAACCCGTGTCCTCAGCAGTGAAAGCATGGAGTCCTAACCACAGGACCACAAAGGAATTCCCTAGGGGTGTTCGTCTTATAATAATTCATCAGGTTATAGTTTTGCTTAATGGGCTTTTTTCTATTTGTTTTACATGAATAATAAACATGATAAATATGAAACAACTGCAAATATTTCCTTCAAATTTTTTTCCCCCATAGGAGATTATTCATATTCAGGAAGAGATAGTTTGATTTTCTTGGTTGATGCTTCCAGAGCCATGTTTGAATCTCAGGATGAAGATGAGTTGACTCCTTTTGACATGAGCATCCAGGTGAGACTACCTTTTCATTTAATTAAACAAACAAAAAAGTATTAACACCCCTTTAAAAAATGTGGACTCTTAGAAAAGTTTGTTTGGATTGATAAATGGTGGTTAGCCTCCTAGGATGGCTACCTATACTTGCAGCTGAAAAAGAGTAGCGAGAGTTGGAGAGAAGGCCCATTTTATTTTGGGTTTGAATTTCTGACCCTGGGAATACATTGCTCCCACCTTCTGTGTTAGCCCTGGTAGTAGAAGTGGGCACCTCTTTCTCTAGAGATGTTTGTGTAAGGGAAGGAATGAAGTTCCAACAGTTATGCTGTGAGATAGGTCCTTTTGTAAGTAATTATGTGGAAACTGAGTATTACTTGTGATTGAGGAAGATTAGTACAAGAGGACAAACAGCCTAGTTTTTATTTTTGGTTGTGCTGGATCTTCACTGCTGCACGTGGGCTCTCTGTAGTTGAAGCGAGGTGGGGCTACCCTCTATTTACGCTGCAAGGGCTTCTCATTGCCGTGGCTTCTCGTTGCAGAGCACGGGCTCTTGGTCATGCAGGCTCAGTAATTTTGGCTCCTGGGCTCTAGAGCCCGAGCTCAGTAGTTACGGTACACTGGCTTAGGCCATCCTCGGGATGTGGGATCTTCCTCCACCAGGAATTGGACTCATGTCACCTGCATTGGTAGGAGGATTCTTCTGTTTGTTTATTATTTATTTATTTATTAGGCTGCGTTGGTCTTAGTCGCAGCACTTGAGCTCTCGAGTTGTGCACATGAACTTAGTTGCTCCATGGCGTGTGGGGTCTTAGTTCCCCTACCAGGGATGGAACCCATGTCCTTTGCATTGCAAGGCAAATTCTTAACTACTGGACCCCCAGGGAAGTCCCTGGCAGGAGGATTCTTATCCACTGTACCACCAGGGAAGCCCCGGACAACCTAATTTAGAAATGAGCACAAGACTTGAATATACATTTCTCTAAAGATGTTCAAATGTCCAAAAGCACATGAAAAGATGCTTGACATCTTTAGGCATTAGAGAAGTGCAAACCAAAACCAAAATGAGGTATCACACCCACCAGAACTGGTATAATTAAAAAAAAAGAACAATAAGAAGTGTTGGCGAGGATGTGGAGAAATTGGAACCCTCATACGTTGCAGGTGGGAATATGAAATGGATCAGCTGCTGTGGAAAACAGTTTGGCAGTTCCTCAGAAACTTAAACATAGACTTATTATTTGACCCAGGAGTTCCCCTCTTGGGTGTTTACCCAATTAAATAAAAAACAGCTTCTCAAATCCTGATTCTGCCACTTACAAACTGTATGATATTAAGAGAGTTGCTAAAACTCTTATACGTTTTCTCATCTATAAAATGGAAATAATAATAGTACCTGCTGTGTCAAATTGTCAGAATTAAATATTTTCGTTTTTTAGATTGAGATGTAATTCACATAACAAAATTAGGAAGTAATTTCATAACCATTTTGAAGTATACAATTTTAAGGTATTTAGTCATTCATGTCACCACTCCCTATCTCATTCTAAAATGTTTTGAATGGATAAACAAAATGTTTACATATAGTCAGTTCAGTTGCTCACTTGTGTCCTATTCTTTGCAACCCCATGGACTGCAGCACGCCGGGCTTCCCTGTCTGTCACCAACTCCCAGGGCTTACTCAAACTCATGTCCATCGAGTCAGTGATGCCGTCCAACTATCTCATCCTCTGTCATCCCCTTCTCCTCCCGCCTTCAATCTTTCCCAGCATCAGGGTCTTTTCCAGTGAGTCACTTCTTCGCCTCAGATGGCCAAAGTATTGGAGTTTATATATAGGTGAAATATTATTGTTGTTATTTAGTCACTAAGTCGTTCTGGCTCTTCTGTGACCCCATTGATTGTAGCCCATCAGGCTCCTCTGTCCATGGAATTTCGCAGGCAAGAATATTGGAGTGGGTTGCCATTTCCTTCTCCAGGGGATCTTTCTGATCCAAGGATCAAATCTGAATCTCTTTCATTGGCAATTGGATTCTTTACCACTGAACCACCAGGGAAGCCAAATGGACCAAAGCCATAAAAAAGAATGAAGTACTAATACAAGCTACAAGGTGACTGAACCTTGAAAACATTAAGAGAAAGAAGCCAGGCAAAAGGTCACATACTGTATGTTTGCATTTATACGAAATACAGAATAGATAATCCACAGAGAATGCAGGTGGGTAGTTACCCCAGGCTGGAGGGGGAGGGAAGAATGGGGAGCAACTTCTAATAGGTATGATGAAAATGTTTGGTAACTGTTACAATAGAGGTGGTGGCTGTACAATATTATGAGTGTATTAATTGCACACTGAATTGTTCGCTTTAAATTGGCTAGTTTTGTTATGTGAATTTCACCTCAATTAAACATGTTACTATTTCTTCACAGAGAAGAATTTCTAAGGATTTATTGTATATCTTGTTTCTCATATTTTTGCAGTTGGGAATCAAAGAGCAGTTTCTCATGTTCTAGTTTCTATACAAATAGTTCTTTCAGTGGACAAGTCAGAATATCTTGCATCTAAAAAAAAAAAGAATTAATAAAAACAATTTTGAACTTTAAAGCAGTGGTTTTCAGTCTCTAGCCTACATCATGCAGGGCTTGTTGACACAGATGGTAGGACCTCACCCTGCAGTCGGAATTTCTGATTCTATAGGTCTAGAGCAGGGCCCAAGAATTTGCATTTCCAGGGACTTCCCTGGTGGTGCAGTGGTCATGTTTCCACTGTAGGGGCTTGTGTTTGACCCCTGGTTGGGGAACTAGATCCCACATACAGAGGCCAAAAAGAAAAGAAAATGCTTGTCCAGCGAAGTTCCAAGGTGATGCCCATGTTTGGAGATCACTCTTTGAGGAACACCGCTTTAACATTTTTTGGATCACGGGCCTCTTAAGAGATGTGATGAAGTCTATGTACCCTCTGCCCCAAAATGATACACTTACAGTATATGTAAGAAGATTGCTATGTGTAATTTCACAGGGCTCAGTGAAATGGGAATACCTAGAGAACCCAGAAAGACCTGCTGTATGATGCGGTGAATAAGTGAAACTTTCACAGATGAACATAATGTATTTGATAAGGAGCAATGAAAAAACATTTACTTATATTCTATTTTAGTTTGTATGTGCTGTGTATGTGGTTTATTTTAGAACATGAAGAACCCTTCACTAGATTTTTGTAGAAGTTTGTAGAGTGCTCAAAGAATAGATTAAAATATTTGTAGAAGTGATTACCTTAAAGATTTTAATTGTATTTAGACTTAATAAATAAAACATTTAAATTTAAAAAATGACTACTTGCCATGAAGATTACTGTCAATGACTAGACATGCCATATATAAGTTCTGCATTCCAGGAGAGAGTTGCTAAGGAGGAAGACCAGGTAGAGTCTCAAGCCGGATATGGAGGGGGGTTGCCAGGGTTGGTTTATTCCTCAGCTTTGCAGACAGAAACTTAATCTTGTCAGTGTCCCTAGAATTATAGGCCACAAGGACTAACCCACTTATGAGACACTGATTTATCGGATGCTGGCTTTGTTTAAATGGATGGCTAGAACTTTCCTGGAATACTGATGTCTTTAAATGTGTAATTAAGCAAATTTTATTTTAAAAAATGCTGTTGGTAGTTACAGATTTATTTCAGGTCACATATACTTTTTTTTTTAAACATTTTATTTATTTATTTATTTTTGGTTGCTCTGTGCCTTCATTGCCTGCAGGCTTTTCTGTAGTTGCAGGCATTGGGGGCTACTCTCTAGTTGGGGTTCTTGGGCTTCTCATTCTTCTGTTACAGAGCATGGGGTCTAGGCGTGTGGGCTTCAGTAGTTGTGGGGCACAGGCCTACTTGCCCCACAGCATGTGGGATCTTCCCGGATCAGGGATAGTACCTGGGTCCTGTGCATTGGTAGGTGGATTCTTAACCACTGGTGGTGGTGGTTGTTTAATCGCTAAGTCATTAACCACTGGATCACCAGGGAAGCCCCCAGGTCACATATACTTAACATTTGCTTAAATTTTATACATGTATATTTTGTTTCTTGGTATCAAGCTACTAGAGAAATGATAAACTGGCCTGTGTAAACTCAGCCAATTAAGTAAATGACATTATTGGGACTCAAATTCTGGTTTTCTGATTCTAGTGCTGGGCTTTTATTTATTTTTATTTCCCTATAGTAGAGTTTCCTTCCTGGCTATATACCTGGTTTCAATTCTCTGATTTATTATAGTAGGAACTGCTTATACTTCTGTTCTGTGTTTATCACAATCTGCTTTTTGTTATCATAATGTAAATGGCCAGCATTCTCACTGGTTTGTGAGTTTCCTGAAGGTAGGAGTCACGCCTTACTCTAAGGCCATGTATAAATTCAGCAAACATATATTGAGTGCCCTACTATATGTCAGGCACTTGTGGAGCTTAAGTTTAGTGGTAAATAATATTAATTGAAATTTTGTTTTTGTTTTTTCAGTGTATCCGGAGCGTATACACCAATAAGATCATAAGCAGTGATCGAGATCTCTTGGCAGTGGTGTTCTATGGTACCAAGAAGGACAAAAATTCAGTGAATTTCAAAAATATTTACGTCTTACAGGAATTAGATAATCCAGGTCAATAGTATTCTGTGATCAGCTTTTTCCCTTTTACATGAGAAGGTCACTCACTGCCATGCACAAGGAGGGCTGTGGAGGAGGAAGCAATGACATCTTGACTGGGAGTATGCTTTCCTGCACAAGGGGGTTCTTACTGGGATGTGGACCTTTGTTGCATGGGTTAATCAGCTCTGGGTGAGAAAGAGACCCTAAGCCCTTCTGTTAGTTTTGAAGTGTGGCCACTGACACCATTCTGACACCATTTCTGCTCATTTAACTCCCTGTCTCTGATCAGGTGCTAAACGAGTGCAGGAGCTTGACAAGTTTAAGGGGCAGGAGGGGAAGAAATATTTCCAAGACCAAATTGGCCATGGATCTGATTACTCCTTAAGTGAAGTGCTATGGGTCTGTGCCAACCTCTTCAGTGACGTCCAGTTCAAGATGAGCCATAAGAGGATCATGCTTTTCACCAATGAAGATGACCCCCATGGCGATGACAGTGCCAAAGCCAGCCGGGCCAGGACCAAGGCTGGGGATCTCCGGGACACAGGTTGGTATTCTTATTCTGTCTTTTTTTTTTTAACAGCTCCATTATAGCTCAGTTTTATTCAGCAAACAAAGGATAGTACAACCTCTCCCCAAAGGTGAGGCCCCCAATCTTTAATTAATTTATTTGGCCACACTGTGTGGCTTGTGGGAATCTTAGTTTCCCAACCAGAGATTGAACTCATGCCCCCTGCGATGGAAGTGCGAAGTCTTAACCATTGGACCACTGGGGAAGTCCCTTCCATTGTTTTGTTTTGTTTTTTTTTTGGTCATTGTTTAGTTGCTAAGTTGTGTTTTATTGCTTCTTTATAGCTGATGTCAAATATTTGCTTTTCACCCTTCAGAGGAAAATGAAAAAATAAAGTGAAGCTAGGGGAGACCTTATGTAACATTCCAAGTGAAAATGGCCAGACCATTAGCTGTCCGAAGGATTCTACCAGAGTGAGCTTTTCTTGACTTCAGTGCCACCGTGAATGGTAGTTCTTTGAATAACTTTTCTGAAGTCATTAGAGCAGTTGTTCCCCTTAAGCACTTTCTCTAAGTCCCGAAGGTGTTTATTATCAATCTAGTCTTTGGAAGCATTTATTTAGCATATTTGAACTTAACTGAAAAAAATTCTCCCTTGCTGGAAATTGTTTCCCCTCATTTTTGTCTGTCCTCGCCCCAGGTATCTTCCTTGACTTGATGCACCTAAAGAAACGTGGAGGCTTCGACATATCCTTGTTTTACAGAGATATTATCAGCATAGCAGAGGATGAGGACATAGGGATTCACTTTGAGGAGTCTAGCAAGCTTGAAAACCTGTTGAGGAAGGTTCGCGCCAAGGAGACCAGGAAGCGTGTGCTCTACAGGTGGGTATTAAGCCTGGGTCAGCACCTTCAAGGCCCCTAACTAATCATAAGCCATGCATGGCTTTGACCTTCTTGGCAACTTAGCTCTGGGTTGTACCAGCTCTGGGTTATACCATTGCCTCACTGTGTTCCTCTTAAAAAAATGTGCTTTATTTCAGGATCCCACAAGCTATTTGCTTTTCTTTCTCTAGACAGAGCAGGTATGCTGTTTGTCTGAAGTAATACACCTCTCCACTCCTTTGGGGTAAACAACTGTACCTAATGGTGTCCCCGGGTGCACTCTCTAGGACATTGTCAGTTTTTTCTCCTCTGTAGATTGGGGATAACAATAGTACCTCGTATAGAACAAAAACTCAATGCATGTTAATTACTATCATTGTTGTTGTGTTATTCTAGTTTCTTATTAAAAATGAAAAAGGGAAAGTGTTAGTTGCTCCGTTATGTCTGACTCTTTGGGACCCTGTGGACTGGAGCCCACCAGGTTCCTCTGTCCATGGAATTCTCCAGGCAAGAATACTGGAGTGGGTTGCCATTCCTTTCTCCAGGGGATCTTCCAGACCCAGGGATTGAACCTGGGTCTCCTGCACTGCAGGCGGATTCTTTACCATCTGAGCCATGGGAACCAGAGGGTTGGATTATCTTCTTTCAGAGAATTTATGATTAGAATCCTAAAGCCTCTTCAGTGTTTTTTACTGAAGAGCATCAGACTTTGATTTTAGACAAGTTTCCTCAGTATAGAAGAATGAGACCATTGGTAGTTTTTGAGCTGTTTTCAAAAAATTACAATTCTACTAGAAAACCCATGAGGTTTTTTAAGGAAACCAAGATGCAGCTCTTTGCTATAGTTATAGTTTTGTCTTTGGTGTCTCTTTCCCCCAAGAAAAGAGGGGGGAAATTTCTCTTTTTCCTCAAATAAGCACCCTATCACCTTCCCCCTCTTCCTGAAACAGTGGAATATTGTTACTACTGCAGTTTGGAAATCTAACATATTGGTGGAAGTGGCAGGGAGGATGAAGTTGTGGTTGAAAGTAGGTTATGGAGTCAGATTGACTTGAATTCTAGTCTTGGCCCCTCTGCTGTGTGACCTGGGGTAAATCATGTAGCTTCTCTGAGCCTCAGTAAAATGGGAGCAAAAACGGTTCCTCCTTAAAGGACTGTTGTGATGATTAAAAGGAATAACATAAATGATAGCTAGTCTTACTATTTTGTGAAAGAGTCATTATAGGATACTGGATAGGAATAATAATGAATTGGAGCTATTTGAGAACTAATTGCCTAAGGCTTAGAAAATTATTACACTTATCCTTGCTATAATAAAATAACGTAATTATTTTATTGCATGATTATTATGTGCCAGGCACTGTCCTAAGCTCTTCGTCTCCAGACTCTCAGGAACAAGTCTGATGGCTTGAGCCTGGACCAGATATGCCCATCCTTCGGTCAGGGTAGGGCACGGTACTATGCTGGACATTTTCCCAAAGCAGTAGGGAAAGGGAGATTCCCAAAGAAAAATTGGGGTTTCACGGTTAAAAGAAGAGGGAAGGAATACCAGACAAGCAGAAAGCACAGATAACATAGTACTTATAGGGTTATGATGATGATTAAATGAGAGAATAGCTGTAAAATGGTTTAGTAAATGGCTAGACTCACTTTAGAAAATCATTACAATACATTCTTTATCATTATTTTAAGGAGTTAACAATATGTTCTGAAACTAATTTTTTGTGGTACAGACCCTGAGATGTATTATAGCAAACTCCATTGTATTATTAAAATGCTTTATGTTTGTATTCAAAGAGCTTGAATTATTGGACGGGATAAAACAAATCAGGGCTTGGGAACCATGAAGGTATTTTAGATAGGAAAGTATAATCTTTCAGTCCAAATTTAAAAATTTTTTCTCTCCTTCAGGTTGAAGCTTAAACTCAACAAAGATGTAGCGCTCACTGTTGGCATTTATAATATGGTCCAGAAGGCTTACAGACCTTCTCCAGTGAGGCTTTATCGTGAAACCAATGAACCAGTGAAAACCAAGACCCGGACATTTAATGTAAATACAGGCAGTTTGCTTTTGCCTAGTGACACCAAGAGGTCTCAGGTAGGTCTTCCTTCTTAACTGAATTTTGTCCTGTTGAACTGTTGAGGAGGGAGACAGGAGCAGTCTAACCAGTTAAATAACTTTCACATGTGCATCCTCCCAGCCAAGTTGTTGTCATTACCCTTTGGACTATGGCATCTGGATCAGTAATACCTTAGGGGCTAGAAAGTTAGAACCAGTTACTTGAAAGAGATGTCAGTGAAAACTCCAGCCCTCAGTCACTCAGCACATGCTACTCTGAGTCTTAACAGTCTAATTCCTTGCTCAGTACAATGGCAGAAAGGGCTTTATAGTTGACTAGGTAGGTGAGTTGTGTGTACTCAGTCGTGTCCAACTCTTTGCAACCCATAAACTGTAGCCCACCGTGGTTCCTCTGTCCATGGGATTTCCCAGACAGGATTACTGGAGTGGATTGCCATTTCCTACTCCAGGGAATCATCCTGACCCAGGGATCAAACCCAAGTCTCTTGCATCTCCTGCATTGACAGGCAGACTCTTTACCACTGTGCTATAGGGCTTCCCTGGTGGCTCAAGTGGTAAAGAACCCGCCTGCTGATGCAGAAGACCAGGTTTGATCCCTGGGTTGGGAAGATCCCCTGGAGAAGGAAATGGCAACCCACTCCAGTATTCTTGCCTGGGAAATCCCATGAATAGAGGAGCCAGGCGGGCTGTAGTACATGGGGTCACAAGAGTTGAACACAACTCAGTGACTTAAGCAGCAACAAGGGAGATAAGTTAGGGAAAGTGTGAAGTGTGTTAGATGTGAAGTGTACTGTTTTTTTTTTTAGGGAGAGGGTTTTTTTTTTTTTTGCCAAACTAACCACAGTTTTTCCTGTGCTTTGAAATGATACAGGTATGCCTTTCTTAATCTGAAAGACAGACTAAGAATGTAGAACCTTATGTCTCATCCTCTCACCTTTGTTTAATCTGTAGAAGGATTTTAATTTATTTGGCTGTGCTGGGTCTTAGTCGCAGGATCTTTGATCTTCCTTGTGGCATGAAGGATCTTCTGGTTGTGGCACGGAGGATCTTTATTATTTAGTTGTAGCATTCAAGCTATTATTAGTTGTGGTACATGGGATCTAGTTTGCTGACCAGGGATGGAACCCAGGCCCCCTGCATTGGGAGCGTGGAGTCCTTGGCACTGGACCACCAGGGAAGTCCCAATATTCTGTTAACTTCTGCTGTATGGCAAAGTGATTCAACTATATATAGGGCTTCCTCGGTAGCTCAGCTGGTAAGGAATCCACTTGTAATGCAGGAGACCTGGGTTTGATTCCTGGGTCAGGAAGTTCCCACTCCAGTATTCTTGGGATTCCCTGGTGGCTCAGTCTGTAAAGAATTCGCCTGCATTGCAGGAGACCTGGGTTCAATGCCTGGCTTGGGAAGATCCCCTGGAGAAGGGAAAGGCTACCCATGTCAGTATTCTGGCCTGGAGAATTTCATGGACAGAGGAGCCTGGCAGGCTACAGTCCATGTGGTTCCAAAGAGTCAGACATGACTGAGCAACTCTCACTTTCATATATATATATTTATTTTATTTTATTTTATATTTTATATATATTCTTTTCCATTGTGGTTTATCTCAGCATGTTGAATATAATACTTCCCTGTAGAAAGGTTTGATATCTAAAATTAAAGTTGAATGAGTCATCCTTCCTTTTTAATTATGCAAAATGTGGGAGAGCAATTTTGCATAAGTTCAAGACCTAGGAGGATCAACTAAGTGACTAAAATTAGATATTATTTTGATTCAACCCTTGAGATATTTTTTGGAGCACAAATTTCAGGCCAGAGTGTCTTGCCCTACTTTTCAGAAGGAGAAGATGACAAGAAATTTCCCCTTCCATTTTGGAGGTAGCTAGCTTTCCATGTTGGTTTATTGATAGGCAGTAGTTCTTCTGGTTACTGAGTTTCTTTCTTGATTCATTGTGCCTCCAAGAAAAATCTTAATTAAGAGCTCTGTTTTTGCTTTTTTTTTTTTTTTATAAAACTCAAATTTGATTGTTACTAATTTCTGTTGCAAATCACACATTTAGGATCCAAATGCAAATGTTGACGTTTGAAAGTGTAATAGATAGTAACAGACGTTTGAAAGAGATGTGTGTGTGTGTGTGTGTGTGTGTCTGCCTCCCATACTAACTGAGACCTCGCACATTACCTGACATAGGTCCTCTCACTGAACAGATAAAGTTTGAGCATGCTTTATGTGTCAGGGGGTGGTGCTGAGAGTTTGTTGTTGTTCACTAAGTCGTGTCCAACTCTTTGCGACCCCATGGACTGAGAGTTTCGTACACGTTGTTACATGAGGGAAAGCATAAATGCTTAAAGAGCCAGGCCTTTAGCACCAGACAGATGTGGTTTGGTTCAAGGCCCAGTTCACTTGTATAACCTGGAGCAAGTTAGTAACTATTGAGCATCAGTACACTCATGTGTAAAGCAGAGTTTTTAACATTTACTGCCTAGGAAATTGTTACAGAGGATAAACTGGGTGGCAAAAGTGCAGTGCCTGGTCAGCCCTCAGTAAATGTCCGTTCTTATTGGTAGGAGGAAGGTGCTTCCTGCCCCTTAGAAGAACGCTAGTTTTAACTTGCTAGTGTCACATGGCAACCATTTGAGTCTCTGCGTAGCCTCTTTACATGGCTCTTGTCATGCCCTTTCTACAGATCTATGGGTGTCGCCAGATTGTATTAGAGAAAGAGGAAACAGAAGAGCTTAAGCGGTTTGATGACCCAGGTTTGATTCTTATCGGTTTCAAGCCCTTGATGATGCTGAAGAAGCACCATTACCTGAGGCCCTCGCTATTCGTGTACCCTGAGGAGTCCCTGATAAATGGTAAGGGGCACGGGCCATGGGTAAGTGAAGAAGTGATGCAGAAGGCAGTTTACCGAGCAGCATTTCCCAAATGGCTGCTGCTAGAAACTATATAGGAGGCATTACTGGGTGTTTTAAAAGTGTTTCATGCTCAAATAAATCTTAGAAACATGGAACTAAACAAAGAGATTTCTTTAGGACCTGCAATACCCTGATACGTATTGTGAATATCCAGGAGGGGATGTGAAATTAGCATATTTAAAACTTACTTGCTTTGAAATTCTTTCTTGGAGGCATCAGATAGGGAGTTTGGGAAAAACAAAACACAATCCTGGCATCTTCCTGTTGCAATTAGAGATGCATGAACTTGGCCACTGGACTGATGCTGAAGCTGAAACTCCAATACTTTGACCACCTGGCGCGAAGAACCGAGTCATTGGAAAAGACCCTGTTGCTGGGAAGGATTGAAGGCGGGAGGAGACGGGGACGACAGAGGATGAGGTGGTTGGATGGCATCACCGATGCGATGGACATGAGTTTGAGTAGGCTCCGGGAGTTGGTGATGGACAGGGAGGCCTGGTGTGCTGCAGTCCATGGGGTCGTAGAGTTGGACACGACTGAGCAACTGAACTGAACTGAACTTGGCCACTGGGTTTATCTGTCCAGACCTATATTCCTCTGTGCTATAACTAATGAACCCCCTGGATCTGGACCTGACTGGTATTCATTAGCGACTCAAGCTTATATCATTAGCCTAATGATAGTGAAAGTGAACCGACATCAATAATTCACATTCCTAAATGGAGTATTTGATGCTCCCAATCTCTTACTCCTTTCCTTTTTGTGCCTCTGCTCCCCCAACTTTTCCCTCTGCTCTGGGTCCGTCACCCCTGACCTATTTAAGTATCCAAAGTCCTTTTAAGAAAATGGAAGAGAAACTGTAGGCTTATAACTTGGGCTAAGAGGGAAGACAGGAGGAGACACCTTTAGGATATAGAACCCTGGGACGTTGTTTTCCAGGGAGCTCAACCCTGTTCAGTGTTCTGCTCACCAAGTGCCTGGAGAAGGAGGTCATGGCCGTGTGCAGATACACGCCGCGCCAGAACGTCCCGCCTTGTTTTGTGGCCTTGGTGCCACAGGAAGAGGAGCTGGATGACCAGAAAATTCAGGTGGCTCCCCCAGGTAGGTGGAAGAGGTGATTTCAGGGCTTTTGAACCTGGCTTAGGCTTTGGAATCACTCATGGAATAGCAACTCAGACCGGCCAAAGCAGAGTCTCTAGGAGTGGAGCCTGGGAATTGTGTATTTATAAGGTTGCTGTTGTTGTTAGTCGCGAAGTCGTGTCCGATTCTTTTGCAACCCCGTCAACTGTAGCCCGACAGGCTCCCCTGTCCATGGGACTCTCCAGGCAAGAACACTGGAGTGGGTTGCCATGCCCTCCTCCAGGGGATCTTCCTGACCCGGGGATCTAACCCATGTCTCCTGCGTTTCAGGTGGGTTCTTTACCCACTGAGCCACCTGGGAAGCCCTTTTATAAGGTCGCATAGGTGAATTTGAAGAGCCGCCAGAGAAGGCTGTCGTATGTGGTTGTGCAGTACATGGCATGTGCAACCGTACAGGGCAGCTCTGCAGCCAGGGTTGAGAACTGACTGCATAGGGACTATTCGTGGGTCATTGCAATAAGTTCATGGGGTCTCACAGATACCACATTCTTTACTGAAAACCATTGTTTGACACCCTTGTAACGTTTAATAGTCGGTTTATCTCCTGTGAACAATAAGGCAGTGAGGTATAGTGGAAAGACTATGGGTTTTGAAGTCAGATTTTATCTTATACTTTAGTGTCTGAAGTAAGACACGTAAGTGTCTTTTGTTTTAGGTCCTTCTCTGCCACCCGTTCCCTGGCCAACTTGGGCAAATAATTGAACCTTCCTGTTTATGTTCCTTCTCTGCAAAGATGACAATTCTGGAATACTTTTCTCTCAAGGTTGCTTCACATTTGATATAAGTCAATAAACATATAAGTGCCTAGCCCAAGGCAGCCTTCTACTGTCGATGGCAGTCATTGTTTTTCATTAGCTATGCTAATAAAAATGATAAAGTAAGTCTTTTAATGTGTTCATATTTCTAACCCTGGTCATCATAATGCTTAGGAACAGCTTTTATGTCAGTTCTTAAGCTGTAGCCTCTGCTCTGTGCTCGAGGCGGCGAGGGTCTTCCAGCCCCGTTTCTCCATTGCCAGCAGGCTTTCAGGGAGACTGTCAGCAGTGGGTGCTAGAGGGAGACATTCGTGCTGGGGAGAGCTAAGAGGCTTGCTTCCTCCTCTTGCTTGGACCTCTTGGCATTGCCAGCAAGGGCTCTTCACCTGGGTTTCAGTCTCTAGATTTTTCAGTCTTTCTGCAACCCATCAGTAATAGGAGAGGGATCAGCCTGATAACCCTTACCTCTTCCCGTTTAGTGTGTATTGAGGGCAGGAGAACAAAGGGGAGAGGCTGAAGCTCAGAGGAGAGGCTGATGGTGGGACATAGCCCTCCAGCGAGGGGCACTGTCCACCTGGCTCTGGGGGTAGGGAAAAAGCTGGAGGCTGGAAGCTGGCTCGGGGTGGGGGGACATGAACTGGAACAGGAAGTACATGAGAAGGAACACTCCTGCTTTCGGGCCTTCCTCTTGACACCAAAGGGAGTCTGCTAGGCAGATGCTAACAGGAATCAGCTGATAAAGAAGAAATGGGGTTTGCAGGGTGTCAGCCCCAGCAGAAAAAAAAGAAAGTTGCTTAGTCGTGTCCTACTCTTTGCGACCCTATGGACTGTAGCCTACCAGGCTCCTCCATCCATAGGATTTTCCAGGCAAGAGTACTGGAGTGGGTTGCCATTTTCTTCCCCAGGAAATCTTCCTGACCCAGGGATTGAACTCAGGTCTCCCGCGTTGTAGGCAGACGCTTTACCGTCTGAGCCAGGAGGGAGGTCAGCCCCAGCAGCACAGGACACAAAAGGGTGACTTGGGGCTGAGAGGAGAACGACAACTCAGTGACTGAAGCCTTTTATTAGGTCAAGTCTCCGAAGACATACCTTTCTTCCTCAGGCTTCCAGCTCGTCTTCTTGCCTTATGCTGATGACAAACGGAAGGTGCCCTTTACCGAAAAAGTCATGGCCAACCCAGAGCAGGTAGACAAGATGAAGGCTATTGTTCAGAAGCTCCGCTTCAAGTACAGGCGAGTGATGTGTTTTTCACAGGCTTTCTTCTGGAACTGCCTCGAGTTGAAGGTCTACCTAGAGTTTTGACTTAAACACAGACCAAGAGAATATGATTTTATTATTTTCCATTAACTGATGGTTTATAACTCTTTAGAAGCTATATAGAGAGTGAAAGGTCTTGTATTGAAACTCTGGAATTGGGCAAAGTGTCTATAGCTGGTTGACCTGTTGTGCTGAGAAAGCCAGGTTGGTTAGTTGAGCTTGCTCAACAAAGCAGCGGTAAGGAGAAGGTTCTTGGATGGCCTTCTTCTTGATTGTTGTCACACAGCGAGTAAAAGTAAGTAAATCCAGTGTCAACTGTTGCAAGGTTAAAAGGATGATTATATAATTCAAGTTATTCCCCCTCACATGCACATAGACCATCTTCCAGAACCTTTGTAAAGTGACACCATTTTTTCACATTCCATCTTTTGTCTCTGGGCTACTTCCGGGCAAACTGACCTTCCTCCTTCAAAGGAAACCTCCTGGTATAGTCCTTTATTGGGCAAATGGAAGCACTGTTAAGATTCTACCATGTGCTAGGCACTGTTCTAGATACAGTTCCAACAGTGTCTCATTTATATAATTCAATGGCATTTTCATAAGAACCTGCCCATTTTATAGATGAAGAAACTGAGGCTTAGAGGCGTGAGGCAACTTGTCCAGATTCACCAAGCTAAAAGGAACGGGAGCCAGGGTTCAAGTCTAGGACTGTATATGCCTCTAGGTTCTTTCTCTTTTTAATCTCATGTTGCTTTTGTATGTGGTAAAAGAGACTATCAAGTTCATCATCTCACCTCCTATCATCCATCCTTCATCTTTTCTCTGTACATGCCTCCCCTGGCCCTGCCTCCTCTGTTTCTGTCTCTGCCACAGCTTCCAGTGCCAGACAGATAGGCGGGTATTGTTTTGCTTTTAAGTTCACTTTTGGATCTTTAGCATCAGACAATAAATTGAAAATTGGGAAGAAAGAGGTTGATTCAAGAGAGAAGACTCCCAGCTGTTTTACCCAGGGTGTATTTCTCAGCTGACCTTGGGCATGCACTGTCACAGCTGAGTTTTTATTTTTGTTTTTTAAATATTTACATCTTAACTTTTAAAATTTATTCATGTTACTGTTAATGTTTTAACAGATGTGACAGCTTTGAGAACCCAGTCTTGCAGCAGCACTTCAGGAACATGGAAGCCTTGGCGCTGGATTTGATGGAGCCTGAGCAAGCAGTGGACCTGACATGTAAGGAGGCCGTAACCGAGCTGAGAAGTTCTTTTCATGGGAGGCTTTCATGTTAATTTTTCCTGCTCTAGTACTATGCATGCGTTTCCTGGCAGCCTCTAAGTACTTGACCTTGTTGTTCAGGTCATCTCTGCTTGAGAGCTTTTCTAGACCAGCTTTGATTGCCTGGGAACAGATCTGGCCAATTCCACAATAAAACAAGGAGAAAGTGCCAGGCTTCTGAGACCCGTCTCTGAAGTAGGCCACCCATGACTCCGTGTTGGTAAAAGGTTAAAAACAACAATCTGTACCATTTATTGAGTGCTTCTTGTGTGCTGGGCACTGTTGGCCTATGTGTTGACTCATTTATTCCTGCTGACCATGAGGTGGGTGCTGTTACTATCCTTGGTTTGCAGAGAAGGGAGTGACTTGCCCCAGGCACTAAGTAGCAGTGGTGGATGGATCTAGGTTCAGAATCCTGTGAGCTGGCCCAGAGCCCTTGCTCTGAACCACTGTGCCCACTGCTGCTCCATCAGATGGCATGCTCTGCCTTCAGAAAATGTACCTCGTTACCCAGCACAGAGGAGATCTGCCTGGCCTCTGAGCTCCCTGCTGGTCCCTGTCTGGATTGTGTCTCTCTGGTGTATTTTGTAAGAGGATGCATGACATTTAGCGATGTCAGTAAATACCCAGTGGAAAACAGGTTGGATTTAATAAAGACTCTAGACAGAGGTTGAAAAGATCAGAACCATTAGTTTGGCCTTCTTGGCTTCCCAGTTATTAATGTTCTCTTTCATACTAGATAAAAGGAGCCAGCCTTAAAAGCATAAGAGTTACTGGACCTGGGTCATGGTGGTGACTATCAGCTGGGCCTGGCATGCCCCCGAACCCCACCGCTTCAGCCTTCTCTCACCTTCCTTCAATTCATACTCTGCAGAGCTGGCTGGCAGGGAGATCCAAAATGTCAGTCTGATCACATCGCTCCCCTCTTCATAGCCCTTCAAAGTTTCCCCAACACTCTGAGCATGAGGCCTAGTTCCTAGGCAGGCATCTGAGGCTTCCGTGACCTCGCCAAGCTGCCTTTCTAGCCTCCTTGCTGGTCCTGCCCTCATACCCCACCTGCAAGCAGTGTCACTTGCTGTCTCTCATTCCTGTGCCGTCTGCTGAGACTGGACTCAGCTTGCCAGACTGTCTGCACAGAGTCCTTCCTGCACCCTGCCCCACCGAGTTCCCACATGCCTGTATGGCCCGTTCCTTCACGGCACTGCCCGTCTCTACTGCATTTGTGTTTTTCCCTTCTCCTCTTCCCGCCTGGCCTGTAAGCCCCGAAGGCAGGGACTCTTGTTGAATCCCCTGGCTCTAGCCCTGTTCTCAACTCTGCCCCTTCTCTGCTGTTTGACCTCAGCAAAGTAATTTAACCTCTCAAATTTCCATCTCTGTAGAATGAGGAGAGAGGTTTCCCTAGCCCAGAGATTGTTAGGAGGAGTAAATAAAAATAATAGTAAGTTTAAAGCATTTAAGAGAGTGCCTGGCTGTTGTGCTCATTAAGTGCAATTGTGAGAAGCTACTTGGTAAATGTTAGAGTTTTAGTGAATGTTTTCGTGGCCAGGTGAGCTGCCTCCTGGAGCCTTCGTACACCTCCCCATCTCAGCAATTACATATTTTCTTCTCTGGTCCCTGTAGATTTGGACTGGGCAGAGGCTGAGCTTGTGACTCTGCAGGCCACTGTTCTTATGTTTTCATTTTCTAGTGCCCAAGACTGAAGTAATGGATAAAAGACTGGGCTCCCTCGTGGATGAGTTTAAGGAACTTGTCTACCCACCAGATTATAATCCCGAGGGGAAAGTAACCAAGCGAAAACAAGGTAAGGAGTTGGGCATGGATGTTCAGTGGGTTTCTTTTTTTTTGGCTGCACCGCACAGCTTACAGAACATACTGCCTGTGTTTTCACCTAGAAGTTTTATGGTTTCAGGTCTTACATTTAAGCCTTTAATCCATTTTGAGGTTTTTTTAAAAGTATGGTGTGAGAAAGTAATTGATTCTTTCGCACATAGCTGACCAGTTTCCCCAGCACCATTTATTGAAGAGGCTGTCTTTTCCCCCTATTCTTGCTTCCTTTGTCATAGATTTATTGCCCATGTAATGCCGGTTCATTTCTGCACTCTATCTGCTTCACTGATTTACGTGTCTGTTTCAGGGCCAGTACTATATTTGATTACTATAGCTTTGTAGTATAATTTGAGAGTATAAATGCTTTTTGAATAAAGGAAGGAATGACTTGCTCACCCAGAATGATCAGGAGTTTGGGGTACACTGGTAAGACTCACGACCTTTAGCTCCCACCTAGATGTGCTACTTTTTAAATTTTGTGTATAGCTGAAGCTGCCTTATCAAGACACCCATCTTCCCCAAGGTGTGCTAGGTGGGCATCACAGCTTTAGGGAAGATGGTTAACTGCTGCCCAGATCATGGGAAGGCCCCTGTGCTGTATAGCTGGGATCCCACTGGTAGCCTTTCCAGTCACTGCCACCTGACCTCCGTCCTCAGATGATGAAAGTTCTGGAAGCAAAAGGCCCAAGGTGGAGTTGTCCGAAGAGGAGCTGAAGGCCCACGTCAGCAAGGGCACGCTGGGTAAGCTCACTGTGCCCGCACTGAAGGAAGCCTGCAGGATGTGTGGGCTGAAGGGCGGGCTGAAGAAGCAGGACCTGCTGGATGTCCTCACCAAGCACTTCCAGAAGGCCTGACCGGAGAGCATACAGCCAGACCCCCTTCCACGGTGTAGCCAGGCTGCCCGGTTTTGTTTTTATCAAGTCAAAACCTTTCTTCTCCTGATCCAGGAAGAGTCTGCGTGACAGAAGTCAAGGACTTTCTGTTGCCACGGAGACAGTGTTGCCCTCTCACTTTGCTGTGCCTTACTCTACTGTCTGAATAAAGAGCCTAACTTTGTACTATATATTGTTCTATAGTGTAAAAGAAAAAAGATGTCTCCTTTGCATCCAAAGATGCCGTTGGCTGTGAGCTTTATTTTTTCTCCCACTGGGAAACGCATTTCCTCACAACGGAAACAAGCAATATCAGTGAGGGCAGGGAAGAGTGTGACAGTTAAGGACACATGAACACTTTAGGGATGATAATCCTAGGCAGGTTATGTTCTGATCCTCTGTTTTCCCACCTGTTTTCCTTTACATGTGTCATATTAGATCTAAATCAGATTTCAGAAGTAATAACAAGGTAACGTGTAATTCTTATACCACTTGCTTCATGAGTACATAGCAACTCCCCTACTCATGTTGTGTTTTCTTAATATGACATTCAAGTATATGAAGAAGAGACACACATTTTCTGTTGCCCTGAGAATTTGGGTTGCAGTGTAAGTGAAATGAGTTATTCCTGTAATTTTTCAGGGGAGCTGTAGGAAGTTCAAGAAGATAAGGAGAGGTTTGATGGGAGAACGGAAAAAGGAGGGGTCCTTGGATCAGGAAAAGGGGAAGAGGAGGGGAGGGATCTTTCCGTGTCCCCCCATACCTTCCCTCCTATATCCTCCCTGCCCCTTTCCTTGTTCTTTCTGCAGTTACTGCTTTTGAAGAACTAGCCTGAGAGAAGGAAGGAAAGCACCTGAAAGGGTTTTTATCCTCTGAGGATGGCTTGTAAGTCCTGTGTCTTTGAGGACTAGAATGAGTATCTCATGAGGTGAGTGTAGGAAGGATCAGATTACTCTTGGAAGAGGTTTTCAGTTTTGGATTCTTTGCTCTGAGTTTTATGGATTTTTTTAACTTCTTTTTGCTTGTGTTTGTTTGGAAAGGAGATGTTATATTCTTGTTTGGATTTCTTTCCTTATCTTGGGGAGAGGGAAAATAATTATCCAATTAGATGACTTTGAGGATACAGCAAGATAATGCAAAGTCATGTAATACAGGAAGTGTTCATTCTTGTTGCTGGAAAATAAGACCACCCCCGTTAAATGACACATGCTTGGAAACTGGGTTCTAGAGAGCGTTACTGGAGAAGGCAATGGCACCCCACTCTAGTACTCTTGCCTGGAAAATCCCATGGACAGAGGAGCCTGGTAGGCTGCAGTCCATGGGGTCGCTAACTAAGAGTCGGATAGGACTGAGAGACTTCACTTTCACTTTTCACTTTCATGCACTGGAGAAGGAAATGGCAACCCACTCCAGTGTTCTTGCCTGGAGAATCCCAGGGACGGGGGAGCCTGGTGGGCTGCCATCTGTGGGGTTGCACAGAGTCAGACACGACTGAAGCGATTTAGCAGCAGCAGAGAGGGTTACTGATACTACAGAGGTAGATCAAAATCGGACTGGTCATCGCAAGTAGGAGGGTAAGACTGAGTGCCACCACTCGCTGGGGCTTTGTTTTCAAGCTGGTGAGAAGGAAACCTAGTGAGTCCCAGGCTTTTCTATGCACTCCTGCAGGCCCCTAGGCTCCCCCTCCTCTGTTCTGTTTACAAAATGGAGAGAAGAGTTCAAGGGTCAAACAAAACATGGGTAATGTGAATGATGTTAGAAAGATAACCACCGAGGTCTGTGATAAAGAGCAATTGTGTGATCTCTGTAGATTAATTAATGATACTTGCCTTCTCTGCTGTTGAGCTCCTGGGAGAAAAACCATCATGTCCAAACATAATTTGGTTGGGCTCTTGTAAGCTCACAAGTCAGATTTAGTAGATTTACATCTTGGCTCCATCACACACATACAAATGACTATAGGCAATTTACTTGGCATTTTCAAGCCTCAGTTTACTCATATTTATAATAAGAATAATAACGTGGAATAATGAAAATAAGGAAACCTGTAAATGGACAAAGTGCTCAAAAGGCACAAACTTACCCAATTTCTTCGACTGCGAACACGCTTTAGTCCAGCGGGTGGTGGTCACGTGCAGCCACTGAGCAGAAATGGCCTGCGCGTGCACGCTGCAAACCTGGCGCCGAGAGCGCGCGGGAATGGGAGGAACGGGGAGGTGCATCTGCCTGAGTGGCAGTCAGCAGAGGCAGGTGGGGGCGGGACCGCTGGAGAGAACTGCACGTGCAGACACATGTGTATTGGCCTCCAGGCCGAATGCAGAGGGGACATCTCTTACTAATGTCTTATTAAAAGGGTAGAAGCAAAGCAGGACCATGAAATCTGGGAGAACTTAGTCATCCACTTCCTCTCCGTTGCCTTCAAACAGAAATTCCAGCCTGAAATCCGTTTTAGAGGGAAAACACACCTATTATAATGGACTGGAGCTATGACGACTATCCAGCCTTTCCGGTTTGAGCCCAAACTATCCCTGAATGTGTAATCTTCATTGTAACTGACTATCACACATGAAAGCCAGTCCTGCCTGGGTTTACTCTGGGCACTCATGCAGCTGGGACCTTCTCACCTGTAGGCCCTGCCAGCACTTCCAGCAGTCATCACTAGAGCAATTTTGACACGGTCGTATTGCTGGTTTTTATTTTTTGGCTGTGCTGGGTCTTTGTTGCTGCTTAAGGGCTTTCTCTAGCGCCATGCAGGGCAGGGGGTTGCGGGGGGGCGGTTACTCTCTAGTTGTGGTACACAGGCTTCTCATTATGGTGACTGCTCTTGTTGCCAAGCATGGGCTTTAGAACACGCAGGCTCAGTAGTTGTGGTGCACAGGTTTAGTCCTCCCCCTGCCTCGTGGTGAAGGGAATGGCAACCCACTCCAGTATTCTTGCCTGGAGAATCCCATGGACAGAGGAGCCTGGCAGGCTACAGTCCACAGGATCGCAGAGTCGGACATGACTTAGTGACTAAAGCGCCACCACCACCACCTGCCTCATGGAACGTGGGGTGGGGATCCCTAGTGTATCAGAGATCGAACTTGCATCCCTGGGTGGCTTTAGCTTCCCTAGGAACCTACTGCTGGAGTGGTTACATTCTAGTGGGAAAGGCCAGGTTTGCTGCTAAACATTCTACAGCATACAGGCCAGCCTCCTATAGGAAGATTATCCAACCAAAGATATCAACAGTGCTGAAGTTGAGAAATCCTCTTCCAGAGTGACAGCAACACTTCAATGATTAAGTCTGAATATTCTGAACCGCCAGAAATCATCTGGAAGTGACGGCTTTTGCATAGCTTCCTGGTGAAAACTGAGAAACTACAAGAAACTATTAACCACTCTAATCCTTCAATCAAGTATCAGCTGGACACCTACCAAGAACCACACTTTCCTTAAACTGGAATATGAATATATGTATTCTTTATTAGGATGCTCACAAGAATGACACATTAGCACTGTCCTTCTGGTGGGACAGAGAATACACATCTGACCCACATCACAGCAGGAGACAGGTCCAGGTAACAGCTCTCAGAGCTGGTACAAGGGTCCACTGAAGAAATTGCCTTTCAGCAAAGCGAGGATGCTTCCTTGGATTCCATCATCTCTGCTGCAGCTTCCAGTCAGTCCTCTGTGATGGGCCCAGAATCCTTCATTCCAGAACCTCTTGCCATGCCTTCAAGACCTAGGTCAACTGGCCCATGTCTCACTCACGCGGGCACCTCTGGAATTTGGCAGCATGTCTCTTTGGTATGCTGCTGCCTGCCACCCTCAGGGGGCAAAGGTGGGAGTTGGGGGGGAATACAATATTACCAAAAGCAAACAGCAGGAGTACATCAGCAACTGACACTTCGGTTGTTGGCTACCCAACAACCTCACAGAACACGTGCTTCCTCCCCAAATGATACATAATGCCCTGCAGAGCAAAGGAGACCCCTCAATAATTCAGACACACGTGCAACGATCCTGTACACCAGGAACAAGGGGTACAAGCAGACAGTACGCCATCATGCCTTGCACAGTAGGAAGCAGGCACCTGAAAGCTGGAACCAATTCTCTACGTCAGCTCTTCCCTGCCTTTTAAGTGGTGTCATCCAGCCTGTTTCCACCTGTTCTGGGCCTTAGTTCACTTTCCAAAAAGGAGGATAAGATGGCAGAGAGGAAGGGGAGATTAGGGGAGGGGCTGACAACCTATAAAACAAGACAACAATACAAAAACGCAAAAACCAGACTGAGCATTAAAATATTTTATAACAATAGAAGGTAGCTGGAAACACTACATGCTAACAGACAATATGATACATAACTCGGGGTGGGGTGGGGGTAGGGGTAGGAGGAGTCAGCCAGGAGTGTGGCCGATGCCACTGGTTTAGACTAAGAGCCTTTCGATGGACTGCTGGATGGACTGGATCTGCTGCTTCAGTTGTGAGCCCTCTTTGATGGTGACGGAGCAGGCGATGACAGGCCTGGAGACCCCACAGGCTCGCCCCAGAGCCTGCTTGGAGCGCACGAACACATAGGGCACGTTCTTGTCCTCACACAGCAGCGGGAGGTGCAGGATGATCTCCAAGGGCTCTGCATCTGCAGCCATCACGATGAACTCAGAGATGCCTCTGTTGAGGGTTTTGGTGGCTGCAGAGAGAAGGACATGAAGTCAACAGGTGATGGGCGCTGGGGCAGGGAAGCCACAACAAAGTAACTTCCAAGGAAAAGAAACAGGTGCAAGAAAAATGGGCTAAAATGTCCAGGTCTAGGCAATTCTGTCCCACAGTGGCCTTCGGAAGAGATAGGGAGCCAAGCACCCAATCCCCAATGCCTTCCTCAAACTCTACATCAAATCCATCAGTTTTGTCAAAATGCACTCTAAATCCTAAAAAGAACGCTTCTTTTCCTGTCCTCTGCTACCACATTCTCCACGTCACCACTATCTCTTGCCTGGGTGA